TCTCTCTCTCTCTCTCTCGATCGATCGATCGATCAGATTAGTGGGGATCGAATCCAGCGCAGCAACCTATTCGTAATTTCCATAGATTTCAAAAAACAAATACGAAAAAAAAGGTGGGAGAACTTTGGTTCGCTCCCACAAATCATCCCTGCCCACATTAGTTGGGATCAAATCCAGCGCAGCAACCTGTTCGTCATTTCCATAGATTAAAAAAAAAAAAAAAACGAAAAAAAGTGGGAGATCTTTGGTTCTCTCCCACCAATCATCCCTGCCCACATTAGTGGGGATCGAATCCACCGCAGCAACCTGTTCGTCATTTGCATAGATTTAAACAAAAAAAAGGGGGGAGAACTATGGTTCTCTCCCACCAATCAGCCCTGCCCACATTAGTGGGGATCGAATCCAGCGCAACAACCGATTCGCCATTTCCATACATTTCAACAAAAAAAAAAAAGGAAAAAAGGTGGGAGAACTATGGTTCCCTCCCACCAATCATTCCTACCCAGTTTAGTGGGGATCGGATCCAACGCAGCAACCTATTCGCCATTTCCATAGATTCAAAAAAAAAAACGAAAAAAAAAAGATGGGAGATCTATGGTTCTCTCCCACCAGTCATCCCTGCCCACATTAGTGGGGATCGAATCCACCGCAGCAACCTATTTGCAATTTCCAAAGATTCAAAAAAAAAAACGAAAAAAAAGGTGGGAGACCTATGGTTCTCTCCCACCAATCAGCCCTGACCACATTAGTGGGGATCGAATCCACCGCAGCAACCTGTTTGTCATTTCCATAGATTTAAAATAAAAAAACGAAAAAAAAGATGGGAGATCTACGGTTCTCTCCCACCAATCATCCCTGCCCACATTAGTGGGGATCGAATCCAGCGCAGCAACCTATTCGCCATTTCCATAGATTCAAAAAAAAAAACAAAAAAAAAAGGTGGGAGATCTATGGTTCCCTCCCACCAATCATCCCCACCCAGTTTAGTGGGGATCGAATCCAGCGCAGCAACCTGTTCGTCATTTCCATAGATTCAAAAAAAAAAAAACGAAAAAAAAGGTGGGAGATTTTTGTTCTCTCCCACCAATCAGGCCTGCCCACATTCGTGGGGATCGAATCCAGCCCAGCAACCTTTTCTACATATTTCTACATATATATATGTATATATTTTTATACATCGCTTCGAGGAGGTGGCACCTCACACCTCCTCGTACCTTTGGTCGCCATGGCCGATTCACACGTTGTATGGAAGCACACGCTGGACGTCTCTCTCTCTCTCTCTCTCTCTCTCTCTCTCTCTCTCTCTCTCTCTCTCTCTCTCTCATATGATAATCTTTTCGGAATGTATTGCAAGCAAGACCTTTTCGCTTCGAGGAGGTGGCACCTCACACCTCCTCGTACCTTTGGTCGCCATGGCCGATTCACATGCTGTATGGAAGCACACGCTGGACGTCTCTCTCTCTCTCTCTCTCTCTCTCTCTCTCTCTCTCTCTCTCTC